TTTGCTTCTGAGCATTAATAAGAAGGTAAAAATGAAGCAACACTGCTTCCCTCAAAACCCAAGCAGAAATAAGTGGACACACATGGCTTTCTGTGCATCCTTTTCAAGTCTATGAATCACATGCAGTCACATGTGATTCCATCAGGGGTCACAAACTGTCCTAAAATTCACTTTCATTCATCCCATCATAACATTTGCCTTAAGACATTTATTACTTTTCAAAATGGAACTTTATTCCAATCTCTAATGTACTAATTTGTTAATCATTTTTGATAACTATTCTAATATTTCATGTCAGTCTTAATATATGGGTCTATGAAAAAGTCATCCACACTAAAAAGTGGACTATTTTATAACCCATGAACAGCGAACATTATCTCATAATCACTGTGAAGTACAAGTTGGAGGTCACATGTAAATCATACAAGTAAATTGGAGGCAACAAATAAGTTGCAATTATTTAATTCACATTAGTGTGGTTCCAGGTTCAGCTGAATCATAGAATGAGCATCTATACCTTTTCATTGATTGACTTTTGGATGAGATCAATTTTTCAAATCCAGTAATGTGGTTAAGAAATGCCTAGCTAGTTTAAAAAAAACAGAGGGAACCATATTAATTAAACAACCTACTGACAAATTATACATACAACTAGCTCAAGGAATATAATATATGTCTAGGCAAGGTTTATCTGAGAATGTTTAGTCTTTGCCCAAGCTTTAAACTACATAGCACATGGTAATTAAAAGAACCAGACTGATGGAACTAACTTTCATGGATGTTTAACAGCCATACTTTGAGGCTTATACTAATCTGGTCAGAGGGACATAAAGGACAGTTTTTGCTCCTTGCCCTCCTAGGTTAACTATGTTCCAGGGCACTATGAGCACCCCTCAAAATGTCCTGTAACTGTGGTGAGTCACCTGTCCTCTTGATCAAGGATGCCATGGAGACCCCATCAAATGGACTTGAACCAGTGTCCAGTCCACAAAGAGGAGGGTCAACACAGAGGAAACATTTCCTCCATGCTTCCATAGCGAAGCAAGCCATGGTTGAGCAGGACCTTTGACTTATCTTCCCATAGATGGAACTGGTAAAAGAAAGGAGCCCTGGGCTCCTCCCAAGCCCATGTGACCCCTGAAGAACAGATCCTCAAATGACCTTAAGGGTAAAAATAAATTGGTTAATCTGGGCCAACTGTATGGTCTTAAACACCCAAAAGAAAAGTATAACCAAGGATTAAAGGGGTCAATACAATTCGTTAAGAGTCCATGTGTGTAGCTAAAGGCTACATAACAAGAAACAATACCAGTTGTTCTTTGAGTTGTCCTTTGAGTTGTTGGCCAGGGTGGCCCAAGAGACTCCCAGACAGTAACCCAGCATAGAACTGGGAAAATGAACAGCAGACTCCAATCTTATCTAAAGGAATGTTGGCAACTGATTGCTGCTAGATGAGGAAGTGCTGATCTTCCTAAAACAAGGAACTCTAGATAGGCTGACTAGATTCAGCAGATAGATAAGCACTGGGGAACAGCTGGGGGTGCCGACAACACAGTGGACAGTAACAGGAATTACAGAGTATATAGGCTCCAGTGGTGGGGGAGACTATGGGAGGGTGCCATTTGGGATGTGGGTATATAGATGAATAAGATTGTTTGGGGATGTTCTGTATGAAACACACACACAAAAAAAAAAATCAACAAAAAAATGAGTTATATTTGAGGAAGAAGCATAAAAATTTGCTTCATGTTAATTAGTTGAGGTGAAAAACATTACCATTAAAATCTACCTGATGATTTTATATCTATGCTTAAGTGCCAAGGATCTCAGAAAGTAACCAACTGTGACTAGTAATCATCAGATACACAGAGATTAGAGATGCATGTGAAAACATCTAAGTGTTAGTAGCATTAAAATGAGTTTTTCTGTATGAAACACTATATTTTTAAATGAAATGGAGATGTTTTTTAAAGGTTAAAACCTCATTCAATTTTATGTCTTATAGGGTTTATACTGAGTTCAATATTGTATAACTGTATTAATTCAACTGTGAACCTAAAAATTTATAGCCAATTTTGAAAGAGACGCATCTTTGCTCTGGAAATTGTTATTGAATATGTTAATGTTGTAATGAAATGCTTCTTCTAATAATTTGGTTATTAATAATAACTTTTTAAAAAAGAAATGGGTTTCCAATAAGTTAAATGTTTGCTCTGTGTCAGTGTCCTGATGGTGCAAAAATCATCTACCATAGCCAGCACCCTCTCCTGGCTTAAAGTGACCTCTTCCCCACATGTCCATCAAGGGTAGCAAGGGGTCCCTAGGTGTGCAGGCCATTAATTCACCCCATCAGATACAATCCCTCTACATGTGTCCAACTGAGTAAGAGAACTGATTAGTAAGTGAAGAGTTAGGCAGAGAGAAGCCAGGGTCAGCCTTTCCAACGCCAAAGCTCTCTCCTCTTCCCTTCAGATGGCTTGAAATTTCCTTTGGCAGCCTGAGGGAACAAAGTGTACAATAAGGTGCTAACAGAACATTTCACCTGCATCTTCTCATTAAAAACACCCAACAAACTAACACAGCACTATGATTATTATTTTCACTGTCACATTCACTCATTCTATGACAAAAATTAGTGAAAATAAGCTTTGAAAGTCTCAGATAAGCACCTTATCTCCTCTACCTCACTCCTCTAATCCTTGTGTGCTTTTGGCTGGGCACCAGAACAATTTATAAGAACCACTATGAGATTGACAGAAGCAGTATTAGTGTGTAAGAGGAAGGTCCCAGAAGGGAGAAAATTCTCATGAAGGTTTCCTTCATGTCTAAAGGGGTTTTTTCTTAGCCATGGTTGCTGAGTTAAGACCTGAAAAGAGCGGCTGAAGAGATGGCTGTGATTAAGAGCACTGGCTGCTCTTTCAGAGAACCCGGGGTCAATTCCCAGCACCCGATGGCAGTTAACAACCTTCCATAACTCCAGTTCCAGGGGAATCCGATGCCCTCTTCTGACCTCCACTGTCACTGAATGGCATGCGTGCACTTATATACATGCAGGTAATATATTCATACTCTCTCTCTCTCTCTCTCTCTCTCTCTCTCTATATATTGAGTGATCATAACTTTTGAATAACATGCAAGGAGCCAATTCCAGGTCAGGTTGGGCCTCAAGTGTCAATAGTGGGAATGAATGACTCTGGGGTCATAGACCTCTGATTTCTAATTAGCTGCCAGTTTCACTCAGGAGCATGGTCTCCTGGGACCTTAGGACACACACACACACACACACACACACACACACACACACACACACACAAATATATATATATATATATATATATATATATATATATAATTTTAAAAGAACTAAAAGAAATGTTTGGGGGCAGATGAGGAAAGAACTTAGAAAGTAAAGAGTAGACCCTACCCCAAAGCAGGAAATACTGAATCACAGAATCAGTACTTCTGAGAAGAACTCTAGATCCTGGAGGTGGGAGGATCCTGGAACAATCCTAGTTCTGCATTTTGCCTCCTGGAGAGGAGATAACCATCCCAAGGGCATTCTTTGCAACTGCCTAGCTTCCCTTGAAGGTTTCTAGAGATGGAGAATGAGAACACCTTTGGCTGCTAGTTCTCCTTTCAAGTCCCTCTCCCTACCAGGAGAGTTCTAATGTCTTACTCAAATGTCTCCTGAACTCCCTGGGGCCTGTTTGTGCCTCTTCAGAGTGACTTCGACCCAAAGGGCTTCTGTGAGATTGGAGAGCAGCCTCCTTATTTGAGGAAATTTCATCAATCTGAAAACAGCCATTAAACTACCTCTTAGCATCTCATGTCTGAAGGAAGGAATTTGTACAGAGGCTGTATAGCCTCTGTGGGGACGTTACAGGGAGGATTCCAACATGAGACACGGGCCAAACTAGACTGGCACCCAAGATATCTTCCCAACCAGAAAGTCTTTGATTAAATTCTTTTCATCTTTTTTGTGAAGTTCTCCATCACTTTGTTCATTTTTTTTCATTCTGTCATCATTCCAACTTTAAACATGATATGCACAGGAATAGTTTTTTAAAGTATAAAATGAAGCCTCATTAATTCAGGTTAAGTTGGAAAAAGTCAAGTCCCAGTGAGTCAGAAATCAGAGTGAAAAGTATTTTCAATTTAAAAAATCATGTCTCTTTCAAAAGACTACATAATGGATATTAATAAATAAGATGGGAAAGTTAATGAAAATGGTGAGTTACAATAGCTTTATTTTCATGGCACTTTATACTTTCAAAGTGTCTTTACATACATAATTTCATATTGGCAATTTTTTTGCTATATAAAGAAAGGGCACAGATAATAGATCATCAAACCTAAATCAAAATATCTTCATTTTTCCTGCCAAATTTGAACTATTGACTCAATAAGAATTATGTGTAATTATTCCAAGTTTGTATCACAGTAGTCTGAATTAATGAGGTTCTGTTACTCTAGTTATAATAAGGCTGACAACTTTATGGCCATCTTATCTCCTAGACTGTCACTCCCATCTACACATTAGTAATAAATACTGTTTCTTCACACAGGAACTTTTATCATAACAAGGCATCCCACCTTGACGAAGTTTTACCAAGCAAATTATCTAACACATCTCAAATAGAGAAGAAATGTTCTGTATGATAAATGTGCCAAGGGTTTAATATTCTCTAAAGGTGTTTACTTTGATTTAAAATGAGCCTCACCAACAGGTTATCCCAAGGAGGCAAGAACAAAATATGTCACCAACTTCCCACCATTCTCTTTGGAAGAAAACAGAATCAGGATTAATCCAATTAGTCATAGATAGTGGAACTAAAGTGACACATGTAGAAACCTAGGCATAGAATGCCCCAGAGGAACCCAGAGACAGAGGAAGGGTCTATCAGCATCCTCATCTTCACTTTCTTCTTTAAACCCACATTTAAAGTCACAACGATTCATGATCCTTTTATGATGGTTAAAAAGACAATTCTTTTACTCACCTTGAAAAGTCTTAAAATGTTAGCCACCATGATGGACACGGAGCTTGCTGCAGCACCTATGACACCAGAAATCTTGTCGGGCTTAGTGAATATGGGTGGATCGCCATTAGCACACTTCACATCAGAAGCATCTTTCTCAATCAATGCCTGTACGAAGGTTAGTGACTGCTCCAAAGCGTAGGTGTCCCTGGAGCAAGTGTCAAGGATTCGGACACCCAGAGTGATGTTGGAAAGGAGATCAGGGTCCTTGTTAATCTGGTCGATTGCATAAAGCATGGCCTCAAGTCTGTGGATCCCCTTTTCCTTCTTCAGCTCCCCACAAGGCACTCCTCTCTCTCCCTTTGCATGGACAGGAAAAAGACCCCCCAGAATAATGTCCCCATCCATCCGAATTGAATGGGCATACTCCTGGCTGTGAGTTCTTTGCAACATTGTGAGGATCCAGTAGAACTTGGCAGTCAGAAGGAAGAAACAAGGGCAAGAGGTTGAGCGCTTTCCCTCGCATACCATTTTCTCCACAGGTGGTATTGCAATCAATGACCCAAAGTTTATTCTTGCCACAGAAGAGGGACCACCTGAGGCTGCACCTTCTGGAGGCTACCATCAGTGCCCATGCAGAAAAGGCTCTGTAGATTTCAGCAAGTTTTCTTGGTCCGAACGTCACAGTGAATTTCCATCAGACCTTAGTTCAAGTTTATTCCCATGTAAGGTCAGTTTGCAAAAATTAGAATAACATCTGAGGTGCTGATGTTGGGATGAGGTCAACAATTCATGTCCTTGAAGTCAGCCCTCTAGCAGAATTATTCCTGGTGGAAGGGAGAAACAGAAAAGGGAGGCTCAGTTCAGTGAGGCTGTATTTTTCATATATTTAAGTCCTGTCGGTACCAATGCTTTTATTTCCCCTATTCACTAAGAAAGTAACTCTTCTCTGTCCCCTGTGATTCTGAACACCTGGCTGCACGGCATCTAAACAGGGAGATTGATGGCACGTTTATCACAAGAGAAACAAAAAAGTATCTGAAACTAGGTTGCTTCTTTCAAGCCAGAAAATATTTTTATTTGTTGTTTTCTTTCAATAAGTCTTATTTCCATGAAGGTAAAATTCTGTGATAGATGACATTATTTCTGTTCAAATCTGTTTTACCTTTCACAGCTATGTGAATTTAGCATTTAAATTTTGTCCACAAGATAATGAAAGTTTTTTTTTTCTTTTTTCTGTGATGTATTCAATAAGCCAGTGTGTTAATGGCATTTTTTTTAGCATCCCAGATTTCCCAGCGGGAAACCGGTAACTATGCAATCACAAAGAAGGAAGGAAGAAGGGAGGGACAGAGGGAGAAAGTGAGGGACAAGTCACCCAAAGATCTCAAAATATCTAAGTTTTGTAGCTTGTGGAAGCATTCAGCATAGAACATCAGCTACTTCCTATAAATTTTCCGATTGTTCTCTGGTAATGAAAAAAAGACTTGAAAATTAAACACATAGGGAGGGTTATGTGTGGAGATCTTTCTGTGACCATTGTCAGAGTTCCCAATTAATGTGTCAGGGTGGAAGCAATTGGTATGCTTGCAGGTCTGAAGTCAGTATGCCTTGATCCTAGAATCACCAGGAACACATCAGAGCTGGAGATCAACTGGAGAGCTGCTTAATTTTGTCTGACTCAGTGGGGAAAACAGTTATTTCATCAACACTAGAAATAACCTGGAGTGAAAAAATCTACAGGCAAATCTACAGATAGCTTGTTCTGGGGCCCTTGTCCTTAAAGAATTGCATGAAATTCTTTCAAAACATTTTTAAAGCCATTTAACTGAAAATGAGAACCGAGTTAACACTGGGAATCTGAGATTTGAAACGTACATGTAAGGAAGAGAATGAACAGTACCAATTTATCCTGGCAGGATGGTTACTCTAATGTTCATTTCTAATCTATTTACAGATGAGTTTGAAATCTGAAATTTGGTCCATTTCCCTTCTCCCTAGTCAACCGACAGCTGCCTTTATTTTCCATTCACTTGTTCAAGTTCCAGTTCATAAAATTTTCTTTCCATTTTCTTTGTCTTGAAAGAAAGGATGGTACCTCCCTAGGGGACAACTGAGCATATGCCCAAGTGCCTCCAGAGAAAGTTGCACTTTTTTTTTTCACTTTCAGGTTTGAAAAGAGGCTCTTAGCAGCCCACTGTGCCGACTGAGTGTGCACTGGGAGGCCCAGCCTATCTTGGCTCCTCTGTTAAGACACTTCCATTCCACTTCACAAAACGCTCCTCACCTCCTAGCACGTGAAACTGCCCCCAAATAGTCCTTTTCTGATTTTTCTCACCACTCAATCCATGTAGCAGCTGCTGCCTGCTCAGAAGTCTAGATTCCACAGCAGCCTGATCTCAAGCATTCCATAAAAGAAAACACTTGGAAAGTCCACTTGACTTTCTGAATGAAACCATTTAATGATGGACAGTTAATTACCTGTGAGTACAAATAGGACTGTGTTCTACCATTCTATAGTTTCACAAGGAAGACTAGTTACATGAGAGTAAAACTCTGATCACTAATTTAGATTCTGAGACCAAGTCCACACAGCCAACCTGAACCTTAGTATCGCTTTTCTGGAAGAACCTGGAATAAATGGATAAAATGAAAAAAAAAATGTCAAGGATGAGACCTGTTCTCCACAGCCTTTTTTTCATTATACAAAGCTACTGCGAGTACACTTAAACACCTAAGGGAATAAGTGGTTTTCAGTTATAGACAAACAGAAAGGGTCCAACTACTAGGTACAAAGCTTTCTTATCTGCTCATGTGGCATTAAGTTAGTTCCACTTGCTGTGCAGTCCTGGAAGTAATAAAAATGAGTTTCTTTTCGAATTATTGGTGTTTGCAATAATATTTAGTCTCTTTAGCATCTCATAGGTTTGTCTGGTGCTGTAATTTAAAGAAAGGTCAGGGGTATGGCAAGCAATGAGGCAGGAATCATTTGGTTTAGCAGATGAATGCAGTGAAATGGAAAACGAGAAGTTCCATTTGGGTTATCATTTATTGGACAGCTTGCTTGAGTTTTTACCTGAGTTTCCTCCTCTGCAACACAGACTTAATTGCATTAAGGCTCTCTGACACTTGATTTTCTTATCTGTAAGGAGTGACAGGGAACTGCCAACAAGACCAAGTGGAAAAATAGTATCTGGCCCAGAGTACATGCTCAGTAAGTAGCGGCTAACCTGGTCTGTTCTTCCTTTTCTACCAAGCAGAGCAACATTTTGACTATTTTCCCAGTTGGTGAAGATTTTACTGAATTTTGTTTGTCACTTGAAAAATAAAATCAGAACTACTTATAAAATATTTAAATATTGCAGTTCTTTCAAAGTCTGATACATTGCCATAAAAAAAAAAAACACCAGACCTGATAGCTGGAAGGTTTAGTTTCCCTTCTAAATTCTAAGAAAAAATATGCGTGAATATTTGTGGAAAGCTGCATAACTTACGTTTCACTTTATAATCTAATAATGCATAATCTGACTTCTATAGAATTCTTGTGAACTTTAATCCTAACTCATCCTAGTTTCAATCAATAAGTTTTAAAGAAATAATGACCTTTCTGTGCTGTAGATCTAAATAGCTTTACTTCGAATTCTATTTGATTTCAAGTAAAATAGTTTTTCTCCCAAGATGACCTTCCTCTGGACTTGGTTGAAAACTTGTCCAAGCTGATGGACTTCTTAAAGAAGATGTGAGTTCTATAGTCTGGAAATTCGGAGGACAGCAAACACTACTACTGGGTTCACATGGTGGCTAACCCTACAGGGAAGCTTAACCACGAACTATTCCTGCTCACCTCACCCTGCCTCTTCTAAGTACACTGTACACCAGCCCTTGCACTGATAGTCCTGTAGATCTGAGGCACTTCAGGAGCATGTCCCCTGGCTGAATTACAGGCCTGTGCCACCAGACCCACCTTTTACTTCTATGTATATTCTGTATATCAAAGTCTCAAGCACCTAACAGTATCTCAAAGAATTTAGATATGATTAACACATGTTGATCATTAGTAACTGTTGTATAAATGAGAAAAGGAGGCTCAGAAAGTATACTCCAAGCCCAAAGCTAAAAATACCAACACCCTCAAAACCCTCAGGCCCCCAAGGTGGGCTCTGTCCTTTGAGGATCTCCCTGGCTCCACATTTCAGAGACTGGCTGTGATAGAGCCCTACCACTCCACTGAAATCTTTCAGAATTGTATACATTTTCAGTGGTTAGTTCCTCAGTGCTAATTAGAAAGGGACAATTGTGGGGCATTTCTAGAAGGAATATTTCCAAATCCCTCAGAAGGTTGAAATTATCCAGTATATTTTAACCAAACTTCAAAATCTGGCTTCTTGGCCAGGTGCTGCCAAGGAAACAAGATCACCAGCACACATAGGGGCTATAAAGTTCAGCCCTCAAGTCTTCCTCCAGCATGTAGCAAGTGCAATTAAGCACTGACAAGGTCAAATCCTTGCTGAGAAAGATCATTAGGCGAGAAATACAATTTTTATCATAGAAAACAATATTCCATTCTGCTTTGCTTTCAGCTCCTTAACAGAAAGTACTATACTGAATGAATATTGCCAACAACTCACAAGGTTCCAAATCCAGGAGTTTCCCACACTTGTAGCTCATTTGTTTTGAAATGTTATCATGTTTCTGTACCAGTGGGGGCAGAGTAGGGATGGGGCAGACTGGGTTCTCCCAGGCAACAGAGGTCTGGAATTGGATCCTTGTCTAACAGTCACTGGCTGATGACACTGAACATGTCACTTCATTTCCATGTGCATCTACTTCCTCATCTATGAAATGAGGGAGATAGATCATACTATCTCTAAGGTGTGTTCCGGTTTCCTGTCCTATGATTTTCTTTAATAAAAAGGAACTATGAGATTTATACTCAAACATGAGAGGAAAGCTTTGCCAACTGAACATAGTAACTGATTTTGTTTGTTAGCTGAATGACTTCTTCCCATCAGTAAGAGAAGGTTATGAACGCTCTTCTATACAAGCAGGGCCTATATTAAGAAAATCTGATATACAAGAAACTCAACTTAAACAGATAAACTAGACTGTGATTATTTGCATGAAAAAAGAATTCAACACATGTTTCTTTTAAAGAACTAAATCCCATGCATTTTAAAATACAATCTGATTTAGTAGAATTCAATTTGCACACTTCTTTTAGATAACATAGCTATTGCATAAAAAGACCATATTTAAAGAAATGAGAGGTCACTTTTATAATATGTATCAGATAAGCTAGAACGAGGTTGAAACCAACTTACTGAATGCCAACAATATGCCTAGAACCTCACAAGCATTCTCATTTCCTCCTAAAATTCACTATCAGTTTGGCATCACAGCCTCCATTTGGATATGAGGACCTGAAAACAGATCATATGATTAAGTCTGAAGTTTCAGGCCACAGTTCAACTTTAAGACTGCAGTTGCATTCGGTCCCCTTCTTATAGCCGCTGGGCATAAGAAATCTACTCAGATCAAGCTAACCCTGACCTGACCATGTGAGGTGTAAGTGAGATGCCTGGGATTCTGGGAGAGCCTGAGCCTAGTCTTATTCCTCCAGCACTCACTGCATGACTTTGGTAAGTTCCTTAGTCCACTTGTTTCTAAAATGAGGAATTCTGCTCATCTCTCGGGTTGTGAAATCAAATGATACAATGTGCATAAAAGTACTTTTTAAACTGTCAAGTGGTATAAGAATGTATGGGGATAGTATCAGGTTAAAACTCAGTCCCAGGAGACCTGAGAAAAATACTTTCCTATAATCAGCATGGTTGTCAGGCCATAGCAACATGTGTCAAATAATCAACTTTGGGAAGTACGTACCAAAAGCAAAGCTCAACTGAAAACTGGAGGATACAGGGGAAAGTCAATGGACCCATAGTATCTGACCTGAGAAACTGAATGTCACAGATACTTGAAGCCATTCTTCTGTAGTGAAAACTGGACAGTTAGAAAACTTAAGTGGTAAGCATAACATAACACTTTTAGCACCAAGGGTTATTACCACTAGAAAATTCAGCCAGCAAATTTCTATGTGAAAGCATAACCTTGCCAGGAAAAGAAAGAAATTTGGCAATACACCTGTTTCACAGCCTCTGCATCCTCCTCTGGGGGCTTTTCTACATTTTCCCACTTCTCACCTGCTCCTCTCCCAACTCCCTTTGCAGAGCTGGCTCCTTCTACCCACAGCACTCACCTGTGGTCAGTGACCTCAAGACCTTGCTTCTTGTTATCTTAGTTCGCCCCAAAGCATAAGTAGATTCACCTGCTATTATCAAAACCTGAGGTTGTATTCCTATCTCCCTCCAACCTGGAGCATTTGTGTTTTTAAGATTATTCCTAAAACAAGCAATAATATCCTTAGCAAATATCACCATCAGTAAGGCAGAGTAAGACAAAGCAGAAGGCAAAACTGTAAGTCAGGTGCCTGCTCTCCACAGTGCCCCTAAGATCATTCCAACAGTGATGCCCATAAGGTGGGAACTGGATGAAACAATATGCTCAAGGTCCTTCCAGACTCTGGACCAGTTTACTACAAACTGTCAAAGCACCAAATAAAAATTAAAATCAAAGAAACAACCTAAGTAGAAGGGGGAGGGGGAGGAACTAAAACCTAAATATAAATTACTAACAAAAAAAAAGCCCTCTTGAGATGGAAAAAATATATAACTGGTTCTCAGGCCCACAACCTCTCCTGGTGCAACATGGAGTGATCACCCCTACTAGGCAAACTGTATGTGTGAGTCTGGTGATACCCAGTCAGGTTCTATCAAGAAAACAGAAGCAATTTCCTGGATCTCTTAAAGTCAACCTGTTCAACAGGCACTGGGACACAGCCAGGTTTTTGCTGTGGATCTAGTAAGACATAAATCTATGCAGCATCTTCTTGAAGACACTGAGACAGATCAATGCCACTCACTGACTAAAGGTCCTCCTGATGTTGGCACTCGAAATACAAAGGGAAGACAGTGGAAAAGGAAACTGGGAAGGAAAAACATCATTGCTGTCATAAGCATGTTTGTGCAGCATTCAGTGCGTCATGACCTGAAGACAATGGAACATTCTTACACAAAGATTGGCACTTGATGCTGCCAATGTGAATGTCAGCTGGGTTATTTGCTCCATAAATACCAATTAAACAAGCCTGCAGCAGCTTCGACCTACCCAACCGAATTTGAAAAGAGCATATCTCTCCAGACCTCCAACTTTCTCCTGCACTCCTCCAGCCCAGCTCAGCTCAGCTCATCCTTTTTCCTCTTCCTTTTGGGTTGCAATGATTAGAATTATTCAAGTAGCCATAACTTGCAAAGGGGGCATAATAGGGCAGAACTAGATGGCCCAAACCAAATAAAACTAATCAAATCTACAGTTGTGTTCTCAGCATCTTTCTTTTTTTCCTGAGCAAAATGTCTCCTAGAAAGCGTCCCCTCACTAAATTGTCTCCACATCCCTTACTTAAGAGCAAATATTCTGTCTCTATCTTAGATGCAATACAACCTGTGGTTGACTCTGAAATAGGAAAATTGCATTAGAAAATCATTTCCCTGGAGAATAGGCTCTTTTCAAAATTATCAAGCCATGTATTTTCAAGACCCAAAGACTGGATTTCATACAGCTGATTCTGTCTCCTACTGAGATCTTTCAAAATATTATTCACAGGCAAGTGACCAAGGTAAACTAAAGTGGTTTCTGTAGCCATTTCCAGTTATTGACAAACAATTTCATAACAGAAAATGGAAATTACAGTCAAGTGCAATAAGCTGTTTATCCAAGATCTACCTGCTGGTGGCTCTTTTTCTCCTTTTATTTTTCTTTCAAGCAAAATACAAGCTATCCTTGGAATGCATTTGTCCTGCTTGTAATTTTTCTTCCAAATATCTCTCACCACAAACCTGTCTACCATTTCTTGGACTGGTAAGATTTGTGTTCAGTAGTAGCAGTGGCCAAGCCCCGAATGTATTCTCCCGTGTTCACCAGACTCTCACACTGTCAGATCTACGGGAAAGGATCACTCCCAATTGACAAACAAGCCCCCCCGGGGGGGGGGGGGGGACTCCCTGAGGGAGCTGAGGGTCTTGGGCTTCTGCAGCCAGCAAGTGGGTATTCTCACACACCCCAAACCATCTGGTCACACAGATGCCCTGTGACCCTTGGGCTCCCCAATTTGGGCTGGAAGCAATTCCTCAGGGAAGCCCTGGGGTGCCTTCTTGCTCAGTGGGTGAAGGTGACTGGTAGGTGCCTCTGTATTTCATTTGCATCAAAGAAGCATGTCAGACAAACGGGGGGGGGGGGCGGAGGTTCGAGTTGGGGGGAGTTCTATTTTCATCAATTGTATGAATCTCGAGGGACCTTGGAGACATTTGAGCAGATGGGCTCACTCATTTGCAAGGTGGCTGAGAGACCTCTTTAAATTCTTTACATCTCAAGCAGGAGTCACCCCTCCAGGGGTCCCCTCCTCCCTGCCGCATCTTCCTTGTTCTCCCCAGTTCCTTGGACCACAGAAGCCCAACTCCTAATAGTCTAAGGTGACAGGGAAGTACCTGGGTACACTTGCCTTTCCCTTTTACCCCAGCACCGCCCCAGTCCCTCTGCGCTCCGGGGGCTCCAGTCTCTGAGCGCGAGGTGGCCAGGAGCGCCTCCGCCCCCGCCACACCACTGCCAGCCAGCATCCACACCCGGCACTGGTCCCCGACTCTGGTTGTCTGTGCTGCCGCCGAGGAGCTGTAAGAAGCTTTTGCCTTGGCTTAGAAAACTCAAAATCCCCGAGTCCTTTCTTCCTCCCCCAACCCCCAACAAGACACGGAACTCCAGCGTTTTCCCCAGAACTGGGAGGGGGGAGGGGGGGACGCGGAAATCCCAACCTCGCCGGGCTAACTCAGAGACTGCAAACTCCAGGCAGAGCGTGCGCTGCGCCAGGATGCGGGTCTCGAGGGCCCCCTACACTGCAAGGCTTTTCTTGCGAAAACACCCACCCCCAAATCTTCCTAGATCCTTGTTAGACATCCGTCTAGCCCGAGCTCAGGAAGGCGGGGGTTACCCCAACTCATCCCGGAAACCGCTAACTTCGGAAATCCCTCGCATTAGATTCGTGTAAGCAAGGTACCTGGGCATCTCGGCGGGGGCGAGTCCGGATTCCGCCAGGGCAGGTCCAGGAGGTCACCCAGGCCAGGCAATCCAAGGCGGAGCGATTTAAAATCCTGCTGCCACACGCCCCATTAGAGCATCCTAGGCGCGCTTGCCTGTTTCCTGTCACCCTTCAATCTCACGTTCACCATCTAAACTTTTGGGGGATCACAGCTCTAAAGCTTGGGAGTTCCAAGCTAAGCCTCTCTCTGTTCCGAACCTCTTCACTGGAATGTAATCATCGGAAGACAAGAGGGGTGGCTGCCTTGTTATTTGCAACGTAAAATCAACAGACACCCAATCAAGCTCCAATGCCCGGCCAGCCCCTCGCCCCCTGGTGCCCACTCTCCCTCTCTTCCCCACTCGCGTTTCCTCCGCCCGCCAGTTCTTTTCCAGACTGGGTATGCAAAACCATCTACTTGTGCCCAGGAAAAAGAAAATCAATAAAGTGATCTGAGAAGAAACCACGCACTTGGCTGAACGGTTTGAGGAGGAAGAAATGGGAATGGTAATAAAAGAGAGGGGCACTGTTTCAGCCAGCTCGGCTCGGTGTTTGGGCAGAGTTGGGGGGTAGGAGCTTTTCTCCTGGCTCAGCAGTTGCTCAGGGCTGCTCGCCTGCCTGCTGCTCGGCGGGGAGTCTTACCCTGCTCCCCGCAGAGGGCGCGGTGAAGAAGCCCGCCCGGGGCCCGCAGCTCCATGTCAGCGCCTCCGCCACCGCGCCAGGCGAGCGCTGCGGCCGCACTTGTGGCTGCTGCTGCGGCTGAGGGGGCTGAGCTGGCCGAGCCGCCGAGTCTCTTCCATGTGAATAACAAATACTCCCACCAGCCGCCGCGATTGGTCTGCGCGCTGCGCCTCCCGATCCTCTGCCCTCGGCCATTCACCCTGCACGGCGCAGGGAGCCACGCCGGGGATCGCGCCCGGGATCGCCAGTTGCTTCGCGCCAACCAGTCACCTCGGGAACCCGGCGGAGGAACCCAGAGCGGGGGGAGGCTCGAATTTCCAAGTCACGGAGCCGCCCTGGCATGGACAGTAGGGACCTGCCAGCGGCAGGACCCCTTCCGCGCTGTAGCCCGAAGCGACGCGGGGACCAGAATATCAGTAGTTTGTTTTTGTTTTTTGTTTTTTTTTAATCACCCCCACCTGCCCCGCCCCCGACAAAGAAGGGAGGGCCTAAAGATGGGGAGGGAAGAGGGCGGCGCGGAGACCGAGCGGGTACCGCAAACGGCGCAGTGAGCCGCTCCCACCGCCTGGCGAGCCCAGGACCCGCATGGGAAAGACCCGCGCGACCCCGACCCAAAGCCAGGGAGACAACCCCAGCCAGGCCCGGGTCCCCCTCCCCACCACCTCCTAAGGAGCACAGCTCTAAGGAGGGTCGCGGTGAAATCACAAGTGTCCTAACACATGTTTTTTTGTTGGTTTTTTTGTTGTTGTTGTTTTTCCCCCAGGGATGCTCAAAGTAGCTCCTATGAGGCGCGGGCTTCCCCTGGCAAAGTTTGCCTCCCTCCCGCCGCGCTGCTGCTCCTCGGTAGGTTTTGGCCCGCAGCTGGGACTCCGCAGCGTGCAGGGGACGCCAGCTACCGAGCCCCGGGAGGTGCCGGATGGGCTCCAGACCCTCCCACTGCGGGCACAGCGCAGGACGGGGAGGGGCAGCCACGGCGACTGTCATTTTATGGAGGTATACGAGTAGTCCAAACTCCATCCATCAGGAAACTCCTGAGGAGCATGCACCGCCCCGGGAAACCTCGGGATTCTCACCCACCCAGCGGATAAGAACTCCGCGGCTCCAAGAGCACAGTCCAGCGCCCCTCCCTGCTAGGTACCACCCAGGTACCTCCACTCCTGCCCTGCAGAAAGAAAGCGGGAACCCCACTCACAGCACCGCCGGGCGCTAGGGATGCTACAGACGTCCTGGCTTTGTGTTGGTGAGAAAGTTCCATCTAGAGGTGGCGAAGCGCCACTGCAGCCGAAGCCTGGAGCCCAGGAAGGGGAATGGTTGGGGGAGGAGGTTAGCAGAGAGAGGAGATGGGTGGAGAAGGGCGTGCAGACTCCGAATGTCCACAGTGATTTTCAACTTCCTGCACAACATGAACTACAGAGGCATCATGGCAGGTAAACTGCCTTAATACCTGTGTACAAGGACACACCTTATCCTGCTCAGGCTTCTTTAACTCAGATGATCAAACAGAGGAAGAAAGAAATACAGATTTATATAGACACTCAGAAAGTACTGTAATGGGAAATCAGTTTGAAAACCCCATAGACAGCCTCCCTGGTGCTGTTGCTTTTCAGAGCTGGCACTAATACATGAAGTTTCCACTGAGAAGACAGTTCTCTTTTTCCTAAAGCCACCCTCGTCCTCTTAGGAAAAAACCTACAGATTTGCAGCTCAGAGGTCCTTTTCCTCATTCCTTCCTTCCTGATCATCTCTGCAGGATAGGTCACTCGGTTTAGAATCATTCTTTTATAGTCAGGAATAACTGAAGGAAGGAAAGATTTGGAGGGATAAGCCAGTACCACACATCCTTTTAAGGTTAAAAGAACCTGGAATTAATGGAGAGATGAGACTGAGTAGACTCAATGGTTACATCTCTGCTCTAGAGCTCAAAGGACTTCCTTGGGGACCTGACCTGCTCCATCTCTCCCCCAACCCCCAAAGGTAGGAAGGTAAGTCTGGCAACCTGGTTTCCATATCAGGCAGCCAGCTCAGACTGGCTCAGCTGTATGAACATGAATACACATAGAAACTATATGAACATGAATAAATCCCTCTCTAGTCTCCTTACTACATGCATTTTAGTACATTTAGGGCAAGGCAAGGCTGCAGATATACTAAGGAATAGAGCACTGACCACATTCTAGTCTTCAGGGTCTGGCTGAGGGTCCAGCAATGTTATGCCTGCTGTTAGCACAAAGGGCAACATCCTGATGTTTTGGTGGGCCCATTTTCATAATGAGAACAACACAGCTGGCTTTGGCCTTGGAGGTATGACAAGACCCAGTGAACTGCTAGGGAGAGAAGTGCCTAATGAGCTGCTTTTCTCCTTTCCCTATTGATCATTACCTGCAGAGAACTAGTGTCTTCCAGGCATATTGCTGCCTTTTCTGATGCAGCCCTCTGAGAAAAAGATTGGTTTGATATATCTCAGGGAAGGTATTCTGATGCTCAGCCTTGTATCATCCTTAACTCTTGACACAGAGTATATATGGAGTCATCAGTCAGATCCCACATGAAATCTGGTCACTAGGGAATAGGGCCTTTCTACATACAAATGTATCCAATGACTTTATCTAACCTGAGCAATTGACATGGGCTTGTACATAGGTTATAACCTTCCAAGGGTAATATCAGGAGAGATTGGTTCCTACAGAGATGGCTCCTTGCCAGCAGCATTTACACGGAAGAGACATCTGGTATCTGAGCTGGTCTATGTACCATGGCTCTGCTTCCCCTTTGCTTCAGTCAAAGTCAAGGGTGTTTGACTGAAGGTCAGGCAGTTCAGTCCTGACAATTCCATGATTCCAGAATCATACACCTCACCTCTCCTTGGGATCCCATTTTCTAAAGTATGAAATATGTTTTTGCAAAATATCTGATCTTATCATCCATCCCACCCCAAATATTTATGCAAACCAAACATATTTCCTGGTAGTTAATCCTCCAAGAAGATTTGCCTATAATCTTCTCACTTTCAGTTGATTTAAAATGTGAGAAATTGTCCATGTGTTGGAAAATGTAAAAAAAAAATACCATATGTTTGAGGTCCATTTAACTCAAGCTGTGATATTCATTCCACATGTGGAGATTTATGCTGCAGTTCCTACCTTAGGATGATCATTAAGACTGGAATCTTTTGTAGACCACTCACCCAGGAGGAATATCAATTGGAAACAAAGACAATCTTTTTCTTGTTAGATATCTGCAAGTGTCAGTGAATATATCACGTAGGCTTTACTCAGTTTATTAAAGCACTGGCTATTGGAAACAAGATCAGACATGTTAGATTCACAATCACACAGAAGCCAGTGAAGTTCTAGAGAGCAATGTGGTCCTTCCTTCCACAGTTAGCTCATGCCTGGATAGTGGAGTCACCGGAGAAATTCCCCAAGAAGATGCAATGAAGTATATCTGCATCTCCACCATTTTCATTTGGGTTCCTCCTGAAACACAACAGAGACAAAGATTTCCAGGCACATAGTTATTTAAGAAGAGGAGGAAATACCAATAGTCAGGAGGAGACATGAGTAAGGAAAGGAAGAGTCATCAAGCTAAGTACTACTGTGGGTACCTAGAAATTATTCTCATACCTCTTTAAGTGGAAAACTCTAGAAGCCAGTGTAAAATGCACACAAAAGAGCTGCTCCAACAGAGAACTGGGGAAACAGGAATACCAATACACCAGTACCTAACAGCTGTTGATTAGGAACTGCTACTAATGTTAATTCTTCAAAAATTTCAGTCTGTCACAAGGGTAGCAAAGTAGACTCCGAAGGTCAGGTTAATCCCTCTTGGAGAAAAAAAAAAAGTAAGTGCTAGCAGTTCATGGGCAGGTAGTATATAACCTAGTGGTAAGGGTAGGAAAACATGAACCAGTCTGCAAACTGTCTCAGGCAAACCTCACAAAACACATAGTCATCAGGCACAATCTATCTACAAGTGATCCCAAAGTCACTGGAACACCACTTACAAGCATAGGTTCCTGGGTTCTATTAGAGAGTTGTCTAAATGAGATTCACTGATATAGAGCTTGGGGATCTGCATGTTTTGCAAGTATGCATTAAATCTGGTGTTCAGTAAAATCAAAATCCACTGTATTCTCATTATTCGGCAGTCAGCAGTCAATGCATTTAAATATATCAAAACTTACTTGCAAAGCAAAGAGGCAGACTTTAGAAATCAGGATCCCTAGGAGCAGAGGTCCATCCTTCCCATACCTGTTCATGGCCACAAGGTTGCTTTTTCACTCTTTTTTTTTACCACTGATGGATTTTCAACAATCCATCCCATGGGGATTTTAAGTGGAAGGGGGAGTAGAGAGAGTTCAAGTTCAGTCTCTAACTCTGACACTAACAATTATATCATCTTGAACTTTTAACATTTCTTTATTACAATTCTTTCTTTATGATGTTTGTGTGGCAACAGACACCTGTTAAGTCACAATTCATGTTCCCTTTTCAATAGTGTGGAATTGTTGCTGGAAAGGAGCTGCCCATCCCTATAGAGAAGCACAAATATATTTAGGGACTTCATTCCCCCTCCTTGCATCTAAGGAAGTTTGGATATCTAGTTCCTTCTTGCAAGTTAAACAGAAATGATTTATATCACCTAGGAGTCAATGAAGTCAAAAAGTAGGGCGGGCCTCCTTTCTTTTTCTCCCCCTCTGCCAGAAGGAGGCAGAGAACTCTGTGGTCCTATGCTTGGCAGTTGTGTTATAGTCTTATCTTAAGTGCCTCCAAAAGGTGAATATATTTATTAAAGGTTTGGTACCCTGAGTGACCCTACTGGGAAGTAGTAAAAACTTTAAGAGGTAGGGTCTAGTGAAAGATCTTTGGTCATTGTGGGTATGACCTCAAAGGAGAAAGAGGGACCCTGGTCCCATCTTCCTCCTGTCTTTTGCTTCTCAGCCATAAGGGGATCATTTTGCTCTGCCACATGTTTCTGAGGTGATGTGTCACCGTAGATCCAAAAGTAATAGTCAAACGGATCATGAACTGAATCTTCTAACACTGTGAGTCAAAACTAGCCTGTTCAAAGAAATGAAAATAGCTAGTAAACGCTTTTTAAAGT